AAGCGCAAGGTCCTGAGTTTGATCCCTGGTACCAAAAAAAAAAAAAATACAAAAAGGGTTGGGGATTTAGCTCAGTGGTTCTGCCACTTGCCTTGCAAATGCAAGGATCCGAGTTTGATCTCTGGTACCAAAAAAAAAAGAATTAAATCATGGGGATTTAGCTCAGTGGTTCCGCCGCCTGCCTCCCAAGCGCAAGGTCCTGAATTCGATCTCTGGTACCAAAAAAAATGAATACAGAAGTAAAATTTTAAGATACTTATTATAGGCCTAGCGGATAGCTCAGTATAGAGTGCAGGTTCAGCATACATGAAAGCCCTGAGTTTAATCTCCACTGCCAAAAAATAAATAAATAAAAGATACCAATTAGGAGCTGTTGCTTACTTCATATTAACTAAGTTATCTAGTTTTTTTCAACCTCATTTTTTTAGTAAAATTTACTTACATTTTCAATTTTTTAATTTAAAAAATTTTTTTTTACTTTTTTGGTACCAGGGATTGAACTCGGGTCCTTCCTCTTGCAGGGCAGGCGGTGAAACCACTGAGCTAAACCCCCACCCCTCACTTACATTTTTATTAGGCAGTAATATATATATGTGTACCCCCACACACAATTATCCTTTTTATTTTTTAAAGAAAGAATTTGAAGCTGGGCATGGTGGTGTTCACCTGTAATCCCAGAATTTGGGAAGCTGAGGCAGAAGGCTTGCCACAAGTTCGAGGCCAGCCTGGGCTACATAATGAGATCACAGCCAGCCTTAACTATATAGTGAGACCCTGTTTCAAAACAACAACAACCACAATAAAAAAAGAATTTATGTGGGGCAGGGATTTAGCTGAGTGGTTCTGCCTGCCTCACAAGCACAAGGTCCTGAGTTCGATTGCTGGTACCCCCCCCAAAAGAATTTGTGATGGTTAATCACTGTTGTTTTTTTTTTGTACTGAGGATCGAACTTGGGTCCTTGTGCTTGCACAGCAGGCGGGGTTAATCACTCTTTAATAGTCAAATGCCAAAACTAGGAAAAAGTGCCGTTTTTTATTTCTTTTGTTTTAAATGATCAATTTGGCTTGACTTTCAACTTTGAGAAGGATAATAAAGGCAATAAAATACCTTTTTCATGTGTTTATACCCAGCTCTTTAGAAGGAGAAGTACATTATTCTGCAGAAGAAGCTGTGAAGTTTATAGAGGATCAGATAACAGAAGAATCTAAAAGTTCTCGCCATCTCAGGGGACCACATCTAGCTAAACTGGAGCTGATTAGGCGTTTACGAAGTCAAGGTTGTAATGATGAGTTCAAACTAGGTAAGAAACTGTATGGTATTTGGGAATCGTGGAGAATATAGAGAGGTGACCTCAGTACACAAATGCAGTAATCTGAGAGGCCTTTAGTGACAGCGTCATGTTTGGGAAGCACACATTTTCATAACCTGAAAATATTTACTAATTGCATGGGTTGCTTGCAAAATTGGTCTTCAATCACATATTCTACTTGGCTTAATATTAACACCTCTCCCTAGTCCATCAATTTTGCTGACCCAACAATACACTTGATCTTAGCCAAGAGGCTGAGAAGCGATTGACCCAACAATAAAGTGAAATCACTTTCAAAGAAAAAGTGCTAGTTTTATAAAAGTTTCAGAATTTCATGAAGTAGATAAAAGCTTTATTGGAAATCTGCTCCAGGTACTCACAGAGCTTTTGACTAAAGCACATTGGAGACAATTAGAGCAAATAGCAGCTGGAGAAAAAATTTAAATTTGCAAAAACAATAACCTGGGGAAAAAATGTTACAGACGGTAAAGCCTTAAGAGAAGTCTGTAGGAAATTTGATGAAAGTCTTAGCTGGGTGGTTTTTTTGTTGTTATTGTTGTTGTTGTTTTTAGCTGTCTTTATAAATTGCTTTTTATGATCTCGCTGCACCAAAAGTGAACGATACTATATTGTACCAGTTCATGATATTTTGGGAAAGAATGACCCCTCTCCCCAACAAAATCAGCTAATCTGTGCACTAAGAATTAGTTTACAGTTTTAACTCTACCCTGACTTTTGCCAAATTTAGAAAATAATCTTCCTTTTTCTACTTCTTTTTTTTTTTTTTTTCTGCTTCATTTTTAAAGAGAAGGCTCCAGAAAAGTATTTTCCCTTACTCACCATTATGAATGTTCAGTCCCTGTTAAAAAAAAAAAATTGGTCAAAAGGCTTTTTTTTTTTTTCACAGTAGGAAAGTTATCTTTATTGCTATCTAACACCTTGCCCCAAGCTTAGTGGATTAAGACAACATCAGTAATTGTTTTACTCATTCGTTCATCCTTATGTGTCTTAGTCACTTTCTCATCACTGGGATAAAGCAACCAACACTCACAACTTAAAGGAGGAGAAGTTTGTCTTGGCCCATGGTTTCAGTCCTTGGTTGGCAGGCTTCAAGGCAGAAGCAGCATGGAAGAGGGGCATGGTAGAGGAAAAGTTGCTCAACCCATGCATCCAGGAAGAAGAAAAGAGAGTAGCCAGGAACAAATATACATCCTTCCAGATCACACCCCGTGATCCACTTCCAACCAGGCCCTACCCAAGAGGCTTTTTTGAGACTCATTTGTCCTGTGATAATGAGCACCTCTAGGATCTGAGTCTGTCCTGGACATCTCTGTCCATTTTGATCATCTAATTAATGTTTTCCACAACTCAGTCTAAAACTGACTGTGTACTCCTATTATTCCCTTTGTAGCTTTTTCAGAGCTGACTTTGAATCCCATGTTGATATCTTTCTTTGGATCAGTAAAGTTTAGCTCTAGAATTGTGAATGAAAATGTTCATCTGATATTCAGCAAAATATTGTTTACATAGATTCTTGAGAATTGATTTCTCTGCAAAGTTGAATTTAAAAGTATCTGGATTGGGCTGGGGATTTAGCTCAGTGGTTTTGGTGCCTGCCTTGCAAGCCCAAGGTCCTGAGTTCGATTCCCAGTACCAGGAAAAAAAAAAGTATCTGGATCTCCCTTACTGCCTGCTTTATTTATCCCCTAACTTTCTCTTCTCAGTCTCCACCCTACCTCATACAAATACATAAATTTGTCTAGTCTCCACAAAAATATTTTTTACCAGACCAGTAAATGATTCTTACTCTCTTTGGGGTCTCAGACTCCTCTGGGAATCTGATTAAAGCCAAAGGCCTCTCATCATAGAGAAATGTGAACAGAAATTGAAACCTGAAATCTTTTTTGGTGGTACTGGGATTGAACCCAGGGCCTTTGCATTCCTCTATATCCCCAGTTTTTTATATATATTTTTTGAGACAGGGTCTCCTTGAGTTGCTAAATTGCCCAGGGTGATTTGGAACTTATGATCCTTTTCCCTCAGCCTCCCAGAATGCTGAGACTGCAGGTGTGAGCCACCATGCTTGGCTGATTTGTTTATTTTATTTTGGTTTTTTGAGACAGGGTTTTGCTTTATTTTTAAGTCTGGCCTTGAACTCACTATGTAGCCCAGGCTATCTGGAACTTAGGTCAATCCTGCTTCAGCCTCCCAAGTGCTGTGATTTCATGCATTCGCCACAATGCCTGGCTCTAATTTGTTTGTTTGCTTGTTTATTTTTTCTCCCCCTCTTATGGGGGATTGAACTCAGGACCTTGTGCTTGTGAGGCAGGCGAGGTGTCACTGAGCTAAATCCCTATCCCGTTTGTTTTTGAGACAGTCTTGCTGTGTAGTTCAGGCTGATCTTGAACTCACTATGTAGCCCAGGCTGGCCTTGAACTCTTGGTGATCCTCCTGCCTCAACCTCCCATGTGCTGGGATTACAGGCATGTGCCAACAGGCCTGGCTATTTGTTTGTTTGTTAATTTATTTTGGTACCCGGGATCAAACTTAGGACCTTGTTCTTTTTTTTTGTTTGTTTTTTGGTACCAGGGATCGAACTCGGGTCCTTGCGCTTTCAAGGCAGGTGACAGAACCACTGGGCTAAATCCCCGTCCCAGGACCTTGTTCTTGCAAGGCAGGCTGCAGCACCACTGAGCTAAATCCCTGGCCCCCTATTTGTTTATTTTTAAACTGGCAAGTCATGTCTCAGTTCTCTTTCTTATTTCATTCATTCTCATTAAAACATTTAGCAAATTTTTTTTTTTTTGGTACTGAGGATTGAACTTGGGACCTTGCACTTGTGAGGCAGGCGCCAGAACCACTGAGCTAAATCCCTGGCCCCATTTAGCAAATTTTTAATATAATAAACATTTTCAAATTAAACCTCTCACTTGAATTAGAAAATTAAAAAAAATAGAAAAATTTTCAGTCCATGAGTAATTTGATGATTTTCCCTTTCTCCCTTAGGTGACCCAGAAGAATTAATGTTCCAGTATTTTAAAAAGTTTGGGGATAAACCATGTTGTTTTACAGACCTGAAGGTGTTTGTTGACCTCTTGCCTGCTACACAGTGTACAAAAGTAAGTATATTTGAGAGTTCTGTTGGCTTCCTCTATTTTTTGGAACTAGGCTAAGTGTGTGGGAGTGGTGAACAAGAGGTAGCAGAGTACCCACCCCAGGAATTGGAGCACCTTAGACACTGTCACATCAAAGGCATGATGTACGGTCAGGTTAGGCCACAAGGGGAATAACTCTCCTTTTTGTTTTATCACTTTATTTTGAGATAATTGTAGATTTACATGTGGTGGAAGAAATAACACAGAGAGAGCCCATCCATTGTGCCCTAGTGACAATATGTTGCATAACGAAGTATAATAATATAATTAAGAAATTGACATCGATACATCCTGGTGATCTTACTCAGATGTCACAAGTTTAATAGTGTGTGTATGTGTGTAGTTAATGTAGTATGTAGTGCATATGGATTTTTGTGACCACCACTATAAGCAACATACAGAACAGTTCCACCACCAAATGCCACACTGCTCTTTTATACCTGTGGCCACCTCCCTGTACCTCTGTACCTTCTCCTCCTGACCTCTATCTTTGGGCAAATAAAAATCCTTTTTTTTTTTTTTGATACCGGGGATTGAACTCGGTTCCTTGCATTTGCACAGCAGACAGCGAAACCACTGAGCTAAATCCCTGGCCCAGTAATACTTTTTATTCTTCTTTTTTTTTTTTTTGTACCCGGGATCCAACTCAGGGCCTCGCACTTGCCAGGCAAGGGTGGCGCCACTGAGCTAAATCGCCAGCTCTTTTTTTTTGAGAATGTCTTCCTATATAGTTCAGGTTGGCATTAATCTCATTATGTAGCCCGAGCTGGCCTCAAACTTGTGATCCTCCTGCCTCACCCTCTGGAGTGGTGGGATTACAAGCATGAGCCAACACGCCTGGCATTGTGTTTCCTCTCTCTGAGAAAGTATTAATCTGTTTTCCATTCCAGTCACTTTAAGCACGTTATATAAATGGGTTCATGCTGTGTGTAACCTTTTCAGGTTGTTTTTTTTTTTTCCATACATCATAATTCCCTGGATAGTCATCTACATTGTTGCATGTATCAATAGTTCAGACCTTTTTGTTGCTGCATAAGTTTCTATTGAATGAATGTATCGTACTTTCTTTACTCACCTGTTGGTGGACATTAGTATTTTTACTTTTTAACTGTTACATATGCTATGAACATTTGAGTGGTGTCTTTTTATGTAAACATAAATCCCTGGGGAAAATACCCAAATCAGCAATTGCTGAATCTTTTTTTTTTTTTTTTTTTGGTATTGGGGATCAAACTCAGGACCTTGTGCTTGCGAGGCAGGCAGCAGAACCACTGAGCTAAATCCCCAGCCTTGCTAAATCTTAAGATAGCTGCATGTTTAGTTTTTCATGAAATGGCCAAAGTATTTTCCATATTAAATTATTTAACTAGCAGCATAAGAGTAATCCAGTTTCTCTGGATGTCTGCTTGGATTATATGTTGTCACTTTTTATTTTTGCCATTCTGATATGTGTGTGATCATAGTCCTATATTTTACCATCTATATGTTCTATTTAGTGAAATGTCTGTTTGTATCTTTGTTCATTTTCTAATTGATTTTAAATTATCATGGTACATTTGTCAGAACCAAGAAACTGCTTATTTCATACTATGGGTTAGTGTAGATTTTACTTAGATTTCTCTAGTTATTCCATTAACGTTCTTTTCATCTTCTAGGATTTAATCCAGATTACCACATTGTATTTAGTTATTATGCATTGGGAGTTTTTAATGTAAATGGTCCAATGTAAATCAATTATAAATCAGGATGGAGAACCACATTCTTATGGTTTCCAGCTGTAGTAGTATGAATTGGGTCAGCTTGCTTACCCATCAATGGGAACTTCGTACTTAGTTTCACATTTTTTTTAAAGATACTGGGGATTGAGTTCTGAGCCTTGTGCATGCTAAGCAAGCACTCTATCTCTGAGCTACAGCCTCAGGCCTACCTATCTGTCTATGTATCTATTTTTGGAGATAGGGTTTCACTATGTAGTTTATGTTGGTCTTATACTCACTGTGTAGCCTGGGTTGGCCTTGAACTCGCAGTGATTCTTCTGCCTCAGCCTTTTGAGCACTGGGATTACAGATGTGTGCCACCATGTTCAGCCTCAGGCCTTTTTAAAATTTTATTTCATTTTATTATATATTTATTTTTTTGGTACCAGGGATTGAACTTGGGACCTTACGCTTACGAGGCAGGTGCTGGAACCACTGAGCTAAATCCCCGGCCCCTAAAATTTTATTTGAAGACATATTCTTTTTTTTTTTTTTGGTACTGGGGATCAAACTCAGGACCTTGGGTTTGCAAAGCAGACAGTGGAACCTTTAAGACATATTTTTAATAAATTGCCCAGGCTGACCTTGAACTTTCAATCCTTTTCCCTCAACCTGAGTAGTAGTGATTACTAGCATGCACCAACATGCCTGCCCCGTGTTCCACATTAAAGATTTTTAATGTTTATCTCAGAGTATCCTGGGTAGTAGGCAGGCATTTGCCATACTCTGCCCATTGGAAGTATGCCTCAGGTAGGACAGAGCATCATCTGAAGGAATAATGGTGAGCTGAGCACAGTGGTATACACCTGTAATCCCAGTTACTCAGGGGGCTGAGGCAGGAGGATCAAAAGTTTGAGGCCAGCCTATACACCTTAGACCCTATCTCAAAGTAAATAAGTAAATAAAGCTGGGAGAGTGGTAGAGCCCTTGCCTGGCATGCACAGGGTCCTGAGGTCAGTCCCTATTACCACAAAAAAAGTTGGGGAGGAAAGAGAAAAATTAGACAGGAAAGGGGAAGAAATAGGGGAAAGGGAGGGAGAAAAGGAGAAAGAAAGAAAGGGAAGAAATGACTTTGGTCTGTATGTGGTGAAGGTTACAAGTTTTCCTGTCACAGGGCTCCCACTATCCGTTCTCCCAGAAAAATCTTCCGTCGTCCCCATGTGGAATGAGTTAAACACAGTGAAGATGTTTCACTGGTTTTTGGTGATCTCTTGAGTACAGCAGGGCTCAATACTTTGGTAGACTTAAGGTGTCACATGTAGTAGGGCAGATGGGGCAGTGCACTCCCTAACTAGAAAGGAGCCAGTAGTCTCTGTGGGTCCCTGAAGTGATTGTAATCATTCACATTGGTTTAGTAGAGTTGTTCTGCAATGGTGAGCTCATGAGCCAGCTTCAAGCCAAGTCTGGAAGTTTCTGGATAAACTGTAACACATGTAGAAAAGAGGGTTCTGGGTTGTAGGAGGATTTGAAAGCCTATGAAGAAAAAATGTGAGGTGGGAAGGAGAATTTTGTTTGTTGAGGAGAGTGGGATTTTCCTCCATATATTTGAAAAGCAGTCTTTTTTTTTTTTTTTTGGTACCGGGGATCAAACTTGGGTCTTTGCGCCTGCGCAGCAGGCAGCGAAACCACTGAGCTAAATCCCCGGCCCTTGAAAAGCAGTCTTGTAGGAGAGGGATGAGAAGAGGAACTGGCAAGGTTTTTATAGGGAATTCAGTTAGGCTATGTGAGAGTAAGATCTTTTTACTAGTCAGAATTTTCTAAAAATACAGTGTGTGTTTCTTACTACTGGAGGGATTCAAGCAGAATCCAGATAAGCGTGTAGAATAGATTGATCCAGTGCTTATTGAACATATTATGTACTCAGCCCTAACAGGGAGCAACTGATCTTGTCCCTACAGTGATTACCATCTTGGAGGTTTAAGTATCAAATAGTAGGGCTGCATTGGAGAAATACTTATCTTTCCTTTAATAAGAAATGAAGGTTCTTCATAAAGGCTTGCTGCCATGGATTTAGTACCAGTAATTTTTTTCTATGTAGTTTTACTTGATTTGTTTGTTTGAAAATCTTTAGGTCAGGGCTGGGGATTTAGCTCAGCAGCACCATGCCTGCCTTGCACAAGTACAAGGTCCTGAGTTCAATCTCCGGTACCAAAAAGAAAATCTTAGGTTATCTCATTTGAAAACATATGGTAATATTTATCTGTTCACATAAACCCAACAATACGAGCAGTGACATGATTGTCATTGTTCTATGAGATTAAGGATTTAAAAAGTTGTTGCAGTGACTTTTGTAGTCTTGCTCTGAGTAAATTTTAATTGAGAGGAGTTATTTTGCTGCCACAACTTTTTAACTTTTTAGTAGAATGACTTCAGTGGCTAAAAATCCTGCCACTCAGCAAATATGTCTGTAGGAGGATTGCAGACTATCCAAATAGGTTCAAGCTGAGAACTGCTGTCCTGATGAATTATGAGCCAGATCTTTCTAAAGTATTGGTTAGCTCATAAGAGGGGGACTTTGAATCTAGTTATCCTGAAGTGGCTCATCCAGGGTGATGTTTTCATCTTTTGTTTTCTTTGCTTTGGGATTTTTAGCTAAACAATAAAATGGTTCTAGTTTTTTTTTGTTTTCTTTGGTACCAGGGATCGAACTCGGGACCTTGCGCTTCCAAGGCAGGCACTGGAACCACTGAACTAAATCCCCGGCCCAGAATGGTTCTAGTTTTTAAAGAAGCTTTTTGCACATCAGAAAAACTGAACAGCTTAAAAAATGTACATATTGTTTCATAATAAGATTTGTTTGGAAATCTTTAGTGTTTACTAAAGAAGGCATTAATAGCAAACAAACTAATACATAAAATGGCTTCCAGGAGTGACAGAGCTAGGAGTAGAAACCATAGAGGCTTGTAAGCAAAACTATAAAAACCAGTTACTATAGTTTGCTACAAATAGGAAATATATATCTGATCTCAACTAAAATTAATACATTTTAGGCAGATTGAAGCAAAATAATTACAGATGTGAAACTGCATGGCCAGTGGAATTTGTTTTTGTATCATAAAATTATATGTATCTTATTGGAAAAATCCAATAGAATCAGAAAGCTTGTTTTGACAACAGCTACTCTTTGTTCCTACTGGACAGACACAAATCACTTTCAGTCCTGAACTCTTCTATTATTTACTTCCATATTTCTAAATTATAGGCTTATATGTAGCAATTTATTTTTATAGTTACTATCTTCATCTGTTGGTGTTCTATTGTGGAGTATTTGGAAATCTCTTCCTTTCTTTTTTCTTTCCTTTTCTTCCTATTAGTGGGGAAAAAGGAACCCTTCTACATTGTTGGTGTGAATGTAAACTAGTGCAACCACTATGGAAATCAATATGGAGATTCTTCAAAAAACAAAAACTAGGAATTCCACTTGATCCATCTATTCCTCTTCTAGGTATCTTCCCTAAAGACTTAAAGACATTATATTACAGTGATATATGCTACTCATGTTTCTAGCAGCACAATTCATAATACATTTTACATATGGCCTGTATGTTCATCAACAGATGAATGTATCAAGAAATATGGTTGTATATAGAATGGAGTATTACTCTGCCATAAAGAAAGATAAACTTGGCTGGGGATTTAGCTCAGTGGTTTCTCCTCCTGCTGTGCAAGCGCGAGGACCCAAGTTAGATCCCCAGTACCAAAAAAAAAAAGAAAGAAAGATAAACTTGAGTCATTGTATTAAAGTAAAAAAAAAAATCAGACTTGGGGACAACAAACATAGCTAAAAATGAAGATAAGACCATAATGTTAAGACCATAATGTTAAGTGAAATGAAATTGATTACCTTTTTAGCTTTCTTATACAATATTCTCTCTCTCTCTTTCTTTCTCTCCCCTCTCCCCTCTCCTGTCTCCCCTCTGAGACAGCATCTTGCTATGTAGTTCAGGCTGGCCTTGAACTCATTATGTAGTCCAGGCTGGCCTCAAGTTTGCTGTGATCCTCCTGCTTCAGCCTCCCGAGTGCAGGGATTACAGGCATGCACCAGCATGCCTGGCTTTCTCTTTGAGTTAAAAAATTTTTTTTGTTCCATCAGCTGTAATCAGTCTAGCATAGTAATGGTGAACCTGAACTTTCAGTGATACAAACAGCTTACTGTGGTGGTCATAGGTTTGCCACCACTGGTCTCATAGAACCTGAAAGATTTTCACTCCTAGTGTAGTCTGAAACATGAGGCTCCATTTGCTTTATCTCCTCACCCCACCTTAGAGATGTTTTCCATAGAATGTCCATTTGCCACTGTCTGCTTGGGAACTTAAACTTTTGGCTGGCAGCATTCTGGGATCAGGTTGGGATCTGGGGCACTCATCATCGAAAAGCCAGTTTTCACTTATCCTCATTTTTAGCTATCTTGTTGTCCCCAAGTCTGATTTCTTTTACTGGCCCTAAATATAGCATCTTTGGTTCAGCTTCTCATATGTATAAAACCCCAGGTTTCTGCTCATATGTAGGAAGTTGGTCTGTGAGCTTGGGGAAGGGACCAGCTTCTTAGAACAAATTTACCAAATTTTAGTGTCATCGGCACCTTGGTCCTCAGAGACACCCTTAATTTCTGAGCCTTCATGGTTCTGTGAATGAAAATCTGTGTTTTCCAAGCACCTGTGACTGGAATAACCTTGCTGTTTCTTGGTGCCTCCCATTTGCAAACCTATATTTTAGTCTTCTGAAGCCTGTAAATTGTTACTTACCATGTGTCCTAGTTTGTTTTTTTGTTTGTTTTGGTTTGGTTTTTGAGACAGGGTCTCACTATGTAGTTCAGGCTGGCCTTGAGCTTACTATGTAGCCCAGGCTACCTCAAACTTACAGCAATCCTGACTCAGCCTCCTGAGTGCTGGGATTACAGGCATGCATGATCACACCCAGCCTCTGTGTTATTTCTTGTAACTGAGTGTGAATCTACAATTATCTCAAAATAAAAGGTTTTTTTTTTGGTACCGGAGATCGAACTCGGGACCTTGCGCTTGCAAGGCAGGTGCCGGAACCACTGAGCTAAATCCCTGGCCCGAAATAAAAGTTTTTAAAAAGGTCACTGACACAATAACCATTCCTTTCAGTGTATAACCTTTAAGAATTTATTTGTAAGTCAGTATAGTTGTAGGTTTAAATTTTTTGGGAGTCTACTTTTTGTATAGTCTTCCTAATTAAAACTTTTCATTGCTACAATCAATATATGTTAATGTTAATTTAAAAGATAATTTTAATAATTTTAAGTCTTTTAGTGCCTGTAGTACACGGTATTGACAAAATACTTTTGGCCATCAGTGAATGTATCAGTTTCATTTGAGTTTCACAAGCATTATATACTGTCACAAATATATATGTATATATTTTTTTGGTACCAGGGATCAAATTTGGGACCTTGCACTTGTGAGGCAGGCAGCAGAACCACTGAGCTAAATCCCCAGCCCGGCACAAATAGCATTTTAAGCTATAGTAGATAGAAAATGATACAGTTAAAAAAAAAAAAGAAAAGGAAATGGTAAAGTAAGGGAACTTTTTTTTTTCTTGATATCCTTTCCAGACCATTTCAATTTCTTTTCTTTTTTTTTTTTTGGTACAGGGATTGAACTCAGGATCTTGGGCTTGTGAAGCAGGCACGGTGCCACTGAGCTAAATCCCTGCCCGCCCCACCTCCTTTTTTTTTTTTTTTTTTTTTGAGGTAGGGTCTCACTGTGTAGTTCAGGCTGGCCTCAAACTCCTGGCGATCCTCCTGCCTCAGTCTTCCAAGTGCTGGGATTACAGGCATATGCCACCATGCCCACCTTCAGTTGCTGTTAATCATTTAATTTAGAAGTAGCTGATCCTCTGGTTGATTGGCCTGGAGTTTGCTACTGAAGACTAGTTGAATTTTGAGACATGCGTTTCTTATTTTCCCCACCTTGCAGTTCATTAATCAGTTACTTGGAGTTGTTCCTTTGTCGACACCAACAGAAGATAAGCTGGCACTGCCTGCTGATATCCGAGCTCTGCAGCAACATTTGTGTGTGGTACAGCTGACGAGGTTACTTGGCTTGTACCACATCATGGATAAAGATCAAAAATTGAGTGTTGTCAGAGAATTGATGTTAAGGTACCAGCATGGCCTGGAATTTGGTGAGCAATTTTTCATAATGTTCAGTAGTCTCCTGAGCCACTAAGACTTAGAAGTCAGTTTTTAATGCACCTATAGCACCCTTGTCCCTCCCACCCCCCCATACTGGGGAACAAACTCAGGACCTTGCGCTTGCCAGGTAGACGTGGTGCCACTGAGCTACATCCTGGGCCACCCTTGTTTTAATGAGTTTACCAGTTTGAAACATCATCTAAGTAGTAAGATGCAAAGACTTTCATAAACTTGGAGTTTAAATAATTCTAGTTGTCCAGATTCTCATCTCATGAGCTATTACATTGGGTTATATGAATTGCATAGCTCGTGATAATTGTCACCATCTGCCTATAGGACTTAATATTCTTAATGTATAGAGTATGTAAATGAAGCAAAGGGATATTGTAGATTGTAAGATAAACATTTAATTTAGAAGTAGCTGATCTTTAGGTTGATTGGCCTGGAGTTTGCTAGATCTATGGGATAGAAATATAAATTGACTAGCAGGTGTCAGTATTTCCTGACTATATTCCAAAAAATTAGGTAAATGAGGAATATATATATATATATATATATATATATTGGGTTTTTTTTGGTAATGGGGATCGAACTTGGGTCCTTGCGCTTGCGCAGCAGGCAGCGAAACCACTGAGCTAAATCCTTGGCCCTGTGAGGAATATAATATTAACTTAGTTATACATAGCCCTTGGCTTATCCGCCTATATTCACCTAAAACCTCCTAGATCTTTTCCTTGGGTACTGTCATGGGTCCATTCTGTCTGGAACCCTTCCTTCTGTTCCAGCTGAATGTGAGCTTACTTTCTTTTGATCACTTTGATTTGTGCCTTCTATTTTTGTTCTGGTACTTAACTCAATTCTTCCTTTTTTCTTTTTTCTTTCTCTCTTCTTCCGTCTCTCTTTTCTGCTTTAAAAACCTCCTTTGAGGACAGTAATACCTGAACAAGTGTTGAAAATATGGTATGTTTTTTCCCCCCACAGGGAAATCCTGTTTGAAAACAGAATTGCAGTTTTCTGACTATTATTGTCTCCTTGCTGTCCATGTGCTTATTGATATATGGAGAGAAACAGGTGAGTCGTTATGATTTCAATACAGCTTTACTTTTTGTTTTTAGTAATTATAAGTAGTGCATTCCTTCTTTAGGCTGATTGTATAATCCATGAATTTGACTTATGTACTTAGTTTTTTCTTCCTTATTCTTCTCCAAGGTGCTTCTAGAAGAACCAAGTTTCCAATTTATCCTACCCCTTGTAACCAGGATATTCTTAAATCAGTGGATATCTATTCTATTTCTATTCTATGGTTCTGAATAATGCATAATGACTCTTAAAAACCTGTTATAAAACTATAACAATTAAATTATGATGAAACTGATTCAAAAGTAAATGGATAGACACCTGGACCAGAACAGCCCACTTTTAAAACTTGTGGAAACGCATTTTATTGGAGTAGTTCTTTTAAGAGAAAAATATAAACACACTAAAAGCAGCATTGTGAGTCACTGAAGAAGAGTAGGATGATTCCACAGATGGTATGGGGATCACCCTTTTCTTTTTAAGTCGCACTTCTTGATATTTTCTTTTATTAGCAGTTTTGAGAAAAAATAACTTTTGGTGCTAATCAAATATTCATGAGAATAAAGTACAAGAGTAGACAGTGGTGAGCAAGATGGTGCAGCCTCTGTCTTATAGGACCATTTCGCAGAACACTCAGTCTGCTGTCATCTCCTTTTCTAAAATTCTTAAAAGACACCCTGCATTCCAGAGGATGAAAGTCAGCCCATTGTAGTCTGCCTTCTGCCCACATCTCCAGATTCTTAGGTCCTTACAATGCTGAATTTACTTTTTTTTTTTTTTTTTGGCGGTATGGGGGATTGAACTCAGGACCTTGCACTTTCGAGGCAGGCGCAGCGCCACTGAGCTAAATCCCCGGCCCCTGAGTTTACTTTTTAAAAACCGATCTTGTCACTGAACATCGGGTTGAAGTAATTTCCTTACCTTCTTTATCTAACTTATAGTCAAATGATGTCTCTGTCAGAGCCTGTCTTAATTTCACCTATTCCTCCATTGCAGATTTTCTGCCCCTTCTGGAGTTGTGTAAGATGTTGTATGTACCCATAGGGTGCTGCTTGTTATACTGTGCTGTACCAAGGATGAAAGTGAAACCCTTGTCAGGGAAACCCTGTTTATGAGGCTATATAAGTCTATCTTTTTCCCTTTGTGTTTGGGGATATTGAATCCAGGAAAGTCATCTTACTATAAATACCATCCCATTTGGGTATGGTGGCACACTCCTGTGATCCTAGCACTCGGGAGGCTGTGGCAGGGGGATCACCATGAGTTCAAGGCCAGCCTGAACTACATAGTGAGGCCCTGTCTCCCAAGGGGGAAAAACTAATTAATTAATTATTATTATTATTATTATTTTGGTACCAGGGATCGAACTCGGGTCCTTGTGCTTGTGCAGCAGGTGGTGAAACCACTGAGCTAGATCCCCGGTCCCTAATTAATTAATTTATTTATTTATTCTCAGCATTCTTGAGGCAAGAGGACCTCAGGTTTGAGTTTAGCCTAGGCAACTTGGTGATTTAGTGAAGATCTTAGCTTTAAAATTTAAAAAAACCGGAGGATGTAGCTCAGTGCACAAGCCCTTGTACAGTAGTGGTGATAGTGTTGGGGATTATCTCATGTTGTTTTTTGGTTTTGTTTTTCCTGATACTAGTTATCCTTAGATAAAACAGGATTTCTTACATTTATACAATAATTGTCCATTTGTCTCTTCTACTCAAAATTTAAGCTTCTTGAGGCCGGGACTTACCTGTGACTCTTACTTCCAGTCCATGTCCAGTGCTGCCCCAGAGTTTAGGTCAGTGAGTGTAGAGTTACATGAAATTGTGATGGGAAAGACAGAGTGGCAACATAGGGAAACACAGTAATAGAATGCAAAATTGGATGTATGCTATGATTACTACTGTGTAAAGGAGTTATAGTACAGAAGAAATACATAAAAATAGTAATGTTGGTTTGAGTAGATTATGGGTAGTTTTCATAGTGTAGAGTAGGGTTATGGGTGGTATTTATCTAAGGTCTCCACTATTTGATTATATTCTGTTTCTTTTGGAAATAAAGTGTATAGAATAACTTTAAAATCTTAATGCATTGGGCCGGGGATTTAGCTCAGTGGTTCTACCGCCTGCCTCGCAAGTGGAAGGAACCGAGTTCGATCCCCGGTACCAAAAAAAAAACAAAAACAAATGTTAATGCATAAGTCTTTTTATGTTAGATCTTATGTGATAATAAAAATAGCTTGTAAAATTTTGGAGAATAGTTTAAAGTCTCACCTCTCCACACCTTGTTTTGCATGTTTTCTTCTGTTTTTTGTATTTTATAGACTTGAGATCAGTTCTTAATATTTTGAGTTTTCCATGTGTTGATTGAACATTGTTGCACAAGCATTTTCCTTGGTAATTAAAAATTTCATTAATGTCAAATAGCTATATGATGTTTCTTTGTGTGGATGTTACTGTCATTTTCTTAATCTTCCTCCCCTCATTGGACGGTACAATCAGTATTTTTATATATGAAGCTTTGTCTGTGTTTTTTATTTTCTTTAGCTAGATCTTATAGGACAAGTTGATCTTTAGGACTATTAATACATGTTATAATTTGGTAGTTTATCAAAAGAAGTGTGACATTTTTGTCTGATATTAATAAGCAGTATTTTATATGACATCTTGTTAGTAGAGTTACATATTGGGACTGGGGATTTAGCTCACTGGTTCTGGTGCCTGCCTCGCAAGTGCAAGGTCCTGAATTCAATCCCTGGTACCAAAAAAAAAAAAAAAAAAAAAAATCATATAAAAGTAGAGTTACATATGGGAGAAAAATGGTGTCTGGAGAATCTCTGGAGTCTTGTGAAGAAAATTCTATAGTATGAAGCTTGGTGGATTCCAGTTTTCTTTCAAAGTCTATCTCTTCCAGGATCTGGGATTCTATGAAATTCTATAATTTTCCACCACAAGATCTGACCACTTAAATCTTGCATCACTTTTACAAAGGGCATGTTTAAGAACTAAACCATGTATCTAAATACATGACTGTGTATTCAGATAATTCTCTATTCTGGTAACAAGTGTTTATCTAAAATTTGTTTTCTGCCATCTAAATTCATTCATAGAATAAGGGAGGTGATGATTGCAATAAGTTTTGTTTTTTGAGAACTCTCCATTTGCTGTCAAGTTGGGTAGATAATAATGTGCTATATTTTGATTTTAGGTGATGAGACTGCTGTGTGGCAGACCCTGACCCTGCTGGAAGAAGGATTAACCCATAGCCCTTCCAATGCTCAATTCAAATTGCTGCTTGTTCGAATCTACTGTATGCTGGGTGCATTTGAACCAGTGGTGGATCTCTACTCCAGCCTTGATGCTAAACATATCCAGCATGACACCATTGGGTTGGTAGTATATACTCTGAATAATGATTAGCCAGCTGCCTCAGGGTGGGAGTCATGGGGCTCTCCCACTTTTAGATTTTAGCAGTACAGTTGTTCCTGACATTCAGTCATAAACTATTATTACCCATTGTAAAGAATAGAATTTTAGGAGCCAGGGATTTAGCTTAGTGGCTCCAAACCTGCCTCGCAAGCGCAAGGTCCTGAGTTTGATCCCCGGTACCCAAAAAAAAAGAATTTGATGGCCAAAGAATAGAGTTTATATTTCCTAGCATTTTTGTGGTTAATTTAAACTGCACAATTTCAACATAGTAAGAAAGTTTTCTCCCAGAGACAGCAACCAACCTTTTTTTTTTGTGCTAGGAGTTGAACCCAGATCTCACATACCCTAAGCATACTATGCCCCTGAGCTGCACGCCCAGCCAACCAGCTGTGTGTTTTGAACATTTATTCTTAGTACACACCAAAATCTTACTTTTGCCTCACAGTTGAGGCTGACGTGTGCTTCATTTATTGACCTGACATGTCCTTTTGCATTTGTTTTGGCTATTTTTGTGATTATTTAAGAACATTTTCTTTATCCTCTCTGGTGTTTTAGGAACACAGCATTATGTGCTGTTACAACTTTTGTGTTTCATTAATGGGCAGGTTATAAAGAAACCATGGCATGTAACTTCACATTTCCCACAAAACAGGATGGACCTTGCCATTTTTTTTCTTTTTTAATTTGATTCTCCAAACTAGATTATTTTATTTTTCTTCCTTTTTTTTTTTGGTACTGGGGATTGAACTCAGGACCTTGTGCTTGGGAGGCAGGCAGTGGCACCATGGAGCTAAATCCCCAGCCCCTTTTTCTTTCCGTTTTTTTTGGTACCGGGGATCGAACTCAGGACCTTGCGCTTGCAAGGCAGGTGGTGGCACCACTGAGCTAAATCTCTGGCCCTTTCTTTTTTATCAATGCATGTATGTAGTACATGTTTACATTCCTTGTGGGAAATTGGTACTTGTACATAACACATCTTAATTCTTGTTTTTCATCCCCTTTCTCTTCCTTCCCCTCTCCATCCTTCTCTCTTTTTTCTATCCATCTCTTGATCCCTTCATTTTCTAGATCATTTTAAATGGCAGGATATTTCAATTGTTTTTTATCCTTAGCTATTGCTTTGTCATTTATAGTATTTTGAAGTGTAATGTTTGTACTAAAGGTGGGTAAGTAAACATGTATGTTTTTCTTTCCTTCCAACCCAGTTATCTTTTGACCCGATACGCCGAATCTCTAGGTCAGTATGCTGCTGCATCCCAATCCTGTAACTTCGCACTCAGGTTTTTCCACTCCAACCAGAAAGATGTAAGTGAATAACTATTTTTACTGTTAGTGCCTGCTGACTGCATAGAAAAGAGGGTGTGCACGTGTTGAGAGGCCCTGTACTGTACTAGCAAGTGCTTTTCAGCCATAGTTTACAGTCCAAGGCTGTTAAATAGAGGTAGAGATAACTTGGGTTTGTAGGGATGTGGGTATGTTTAATACATTTGTTGGGAAATTACATTTAAAACTGAATTTTTATTTATTAATTTTTACTTGAGACAGGGTCTTGTTATATAGTTTATGCTGGCCTTAAACTTGCCATGTAGCCCAGGCTGGCCTTGAACTCAACCATCCTCCTGCCTCAGTTTACTAAGTGCTGGAGGTCACAGGCATGTGCCACCATGCTCAACTAAAACTGACTCTTAACAGACTAAGAAGTGTTATGACACATAGATTTATTTTTCAATCTCTAAGACTTTTTTCCAAGGTATAAGAAATAGCCCAAAAAGAAAGAAAAAGAAATAGCCCATAAGAGTTTATAGCCTGGGAGAGGGTGGTGGCACAGGCCTGTAATCTCAGCTACTGGGAGGCTGGGATGAAGCTCAGTGGTAGAACTCACATAATATGTGCAGGGTTCTGGGTTCAAGAATTTGATTTTTTTAATTAAAAAAAAGTTTTTTCCCCGGTACTGGGGATCGAACTCAGGACCTTGTGCTTGTGAGGCAGGCGTGGTGCCAATGAGCTAAATCCCTGGTCCTTGGGTTCAAGAATTTAAAAAGAAAAAAAAGAGAAAAAGAATTATGAAATTGATCAGTTGAGGGACATTTCAAGAGAATTAGGTCAATTGTACCTTTTTAAAAGTAGCAATAAAAGAGAACTGCTCTGTGCCATAATGAAAGGATGGGATTTGCACCATATTTTTCAGTGCAAGCAGACTTGGTCTTTATTTGGTTAAGCAGAGGTTTTGTGAGTCTCTGCCTACTTGGTTCTTGCACATTTCTAAAACTTATTTCCTAGAAATTTGACCATGCCAGATATCTGGCCATAGCTTTCCATTCTCACGGTTTATTAGCAACTAAGAAACTTGGTAAGAAGTTGTCATCTGGGATGCTTCTTGGCAGTACTCTTGAGGATTTTTTTTTTCAACTTAAAAAACAAAACTACAAGAGTTATGGCTAATTGAGCCTCTGTCTAGTTCAGGTGTATTAAATAGAAGGCAGAGTAAAAAGAGATTCCGAAGACTGGAATATAGGTTTATTGCTCTCAGCTTTGATAGTTATGTTCTGTAAGCTTCAAGGCATGGTCTAAAGGGCTGGAGTAGCACAGGACAACTCTGAGCAATTGGAAGACTGGCTGGCTGGCTCCCTGCTTGGATGGTGATGCCTCTCTGTGTACTATCATTTGGTTTTTAGCTTGCCTCCCAGTGATTGATGTCTTTGTTCAGATCTCTTTTTGTGACATAACTTCTAATCAGGGAGAGAGGGAAGTGGGTACTAGCATCTGAGCACATTGCTTAGATGATGCTGGCCTGGCTTTAGAGGCCAGAAGGCATCTCTAGGACATTAGGTATTGAAACTCCAAGTGTGAGTGGGCAGTTGAGGTATAAATCTGTAAGTTATCACTGTGTGTTCAAGTTACCTGTGCTGGCCTCTGTTTTCAAGGAGTTCCACTAATTCAGAGTCAAAAGAATTGAATTCTTCAAATTTCATAATTTTGACTATCATTTTTTTTTTTTTGACTATCATTTCTGTATTTAGAAGAAAGAGATTAAAGGCACATTACACTTACTGATGAATCCTTTATAAAATTTTGTTTCTCAAATAGTTGTGAGGTGGGAATAATAATAATCATCATCTGATGGCTAGTTTTCATTCAGCCTTCAGTTATCCAGCATTTTTAAGAACCGTATCAGTCATCATGATTTGGTCAATAAAGGCACATTATTTTATACTAGTAAAAAAGAAAAAGAGGAATTTGAGGTTTGTTATTCTCAGTGGGTTTTTTGTGTGTCTTTGATGTTTTACTGTTGATTGTGTGTAGTAGCAGGGTTGCCTTATTTTGTTGAATGTATGTGATGTTGAGCCTGATAAAATTATAGCATTTTATTGATTTGAGACTAGGACTTCTCTAGCAATTTAGGATGGGATAGCCTATGTCATAAGAATGGCTTTTGTTCATCTTGTTAGGTACATGTACCAACTCCTCATGATGAATGTAATCATGTATTGCAAACATGTACCAATAAAAATAAAAATTAGAAAAAAAAATTTAGGATGGGACTAATTTAATGACACAGAAGTAGATAATCTTAAGGGGTCTGGAGGTAAAAGAAAGACACAGTACAGCAAGAAAAATGCATCTAGACCTTGATGCCTGCATTCTTAAATAAGGAAACAGATGGTGATGTGGACTGACTCCTGAAGGACTTTGAGGCTGGTCATGCTTGTACTGTCATTCTGTGTGTATCAGACCTTTCCCTCATAGTATTAGAAATGTGTCTACAAAGCCAGATCTCTGTTCTGTGTCTTTTATTATTGGTCGTTTTAGGGATCCCCACATGCTTTTCCCTTGGGCAGCTGATGTATTTCGCTTTCCAACTAACTTTTTGAAAGAACATTTAGTCACTAGATAGAAAATCCAGTGTGGTTAATACAGAGGCTTTTAAATTATCTTTGGAAAGTCTGCATAGGGATTTTCTTATAGGTCATTGCCTGCTGTCATCTTACTTTGGAATAGATTTTTTACAATATGATAATCAGTGCTAGAGTTTCATATTAAAATTTGTAGTTACTTAAGTATTTGTGGTTAAAAGCCTTTTAAAATCTATTTTTTAAGTATTTGTGAAGATCATTATTTAAGGGTCTGATGTATTTTGCTAATTTTACAGTTATCAGGGTTCATTTCAGGAATCCATATGGGATCTAAATAATCTCATTGATGCATAATTGAGTAGAAATAGGTATGGACAACAGATTCCATTCAGAAGTCTATAATATGCCTGGGTTCCAGTTTTGCCTGCAGTTCCATTAGGGGGCTGTTCTCTCATGTAGTAATACTTGCCCAGCCTTTGTGCTATTGCTCACTTCCTGGCCCTTGTCCAGTTCTGCAGGGGTACATTACTACAGTGTTTAAGGAGGACTATCTAAACAAGACAAACAGAGAACTATAGCTACTTTCTTAGTTTGTTAAAGTCTATACTACCTCCTGTTGCCCCCTATTTTTCTTTTTTAAAAGCTACTGTGCTTTTTTCAAAGTGGTATTCCATAGACCACTCATTTAAAACTGTCCCTACACTTGGTAAGGCTGGGTTCTTTTCTTTAATCACAGCATGTTTTGGAACTGTAATTTATAAATTTGGAATTACCAGAGTCATATTTTTGTCCTGATTATTGGATGAATCAAGTGTTCTCAGCTTTTTCAAGCTGTAAGTTCCTATTGCAAGGGCTGATAGTAAGTAAACCTTGCTATGTTTTCTAAGCCTAGGGGCCCTGGATAGGCATATGTGATTAGTGTTCTGGCCTCTTCTTGATGGGCCATATCACTATCCTTAATCAAGCTAACAAGTACATTCGAGCTTTTTCAGATAGTCCCTCTTTACACCTGCAGGATCACAAGTAATCTTTTTAATTTTCTTGTGTCCGTCCGTCTTTAATTTCTCCAGATACTGCAGGCAAACAGCTCGCCGAGGTGTCCCATGGGGGTTTAAAAGCTGCATCGAAAGCAGTTGAATTAGCGCCCGTGGCGCAATCCCGCGGCCTGAAATGAACCCTGCGAGGCTGTGTATCAGAGGGTATGTTGTTGACTATTGGCCTATTTTCCTACTGGGCAGATCACTCAGAAATAATGGAGATGGGAATAGAGCTAATTGAGGCTGTGCAAAAAGACTGGCTTTTCTAGAAAAGATCTTTTGGGGCAAACATCAGCTTTGAGCTAACACTTTCTTGGCCCAAAGGGGTGATCTCCTTTCTTCTGATCCTGATGGCATAGGCCCCCTACCTGTGAAATGCTCTTCCCCAAGATTTTCTTCTATTGTGCCAAGATTTCTGGTTAGAATTCTTTATCTTGCCTCTGTTCTGTAATGTTTCATGTGTATATGTGTATTAATCTATAATTAAAACACATATGATAAGTTTTTTTCACTTGTCTGTGGACAAGAAACCTGGTCTTGAAGTCTTTCTGTCCTCAGAATGGATTACTATATGATTTTTTTTATAGGTCTTTAGTTTGGTGTCTTCTATCCTGATGTAATGCACATATATATATATGTGATAATAGTATTTAGAAAGAAAACCAAGGAGCAGTCTGTTTTTTCTGAAGGAGAGTGATTGTTATTTTAGGTGTGTGGGGTGGTTACATTATTCATCTTTGGAACCTTTGTATAAAATACAGTTTATCCTGGATGCAGAAAAACATGGAGTAATATCCCTTCCAGAATGGCACTAACCAAATTTTTCTCTAATGTGGCATAACAAAATCTCCAGTCCTGTTGCATTGAAAAATTGGCTGCCTAGAGAAGGTTCATGAGATGGTAGCAGGAGCTGGATTTTGTAATTAGTAGTACTAATAAAGAAGACATGTGACTCATGTGCAGGAAGGCAGAAAAGTAACATTTTTAAAAGCTGATACTGTATTTGACCAAAACCTTTGAAGATTGAATTAAAAATGTTACTTGATTTTAGCCCAAGTATTTTGTTTTGGCTGGCAAAGCTTGCTTACATTGCCTAAAATGTAATATTTATACCAAGGTGATATCTTTCCTTCCCAGACCTCAGAATATATTATTCAAGCTTACAAATATGGTGCGTTTGAGAAGATCCCAGAGTTTATCGCTTTTAGGAACAGGCTGAATAATTCTCTTCATTTTGCACAAGTTCGTACTGAACGGATGCTGTTAGATCTTCTACTTGAAGCAAATATGTAAGTATTACATGAGAGGTAAAAAGATCTATAGGATTATCTTAGATGCTGTAGAACTCTTAATGGGCTCGTGGGTGTCATTAGCAGGCTTACGTTAAGGGAAAAATGATGGTGAAAGGGAGAGCAGAGGAGCGAACAGAGGGAAATAGCCTCTAGCCTTTCAAAGAGAATGATAGAGGGCCAGGGATTTAGTTCAGTGGTTCCGCCACCTGTCTTGCAACCGCAAGGTCCCGAGTTTGATCCCCTGTACAAAAAAACAAAACAAAACAGAGAATGATAGAGTACTGTCAGCAACATCTTGAGATCCAATTCAGAAGCCGTCTTGGGCAGGATCCTCACTCCCTGGCTGAGGCTGGCCTCAAACTCACAGTGATACTCCTGCCTCAGCCTCCTGAGTGTTGGGATTATAGGGATGGGCCCCTACACCTGGCAACCCTGGTCCATATTGTGCTTAAAAGTTTTCCTTCCCCTACAAACAAAGGTTTTCAGGAATTAGTTCTGATCTACTTTGTTTTGATTAGGCGTACAGAAAACTTTCTCTTGCTATTATTTATTTTTTTTTTGGTACTGGGATTGAACTCAGGACCTTTGTGCTTGCAAGGCAGGCGCAGTGCCACTGAGCTAAATCCATGGCTCATCTGGTTCTATTTCATCTTATATTAGCTCTTATTTTATGTATATATGCATGTATGTGGTATTAGGTGAACCCAGGACCTTTGCACTGAGCTACATCCCTGGCCATTTAATTTTTTACTCTGAGACAAGGTCTCACTAAATTGTTAAGTTGCCTAGGTCAGACTCAAACTCATGATCCTCTTGCCTGGGCCAGAGTGCTGGGATTACAGGTGTACACCACCTGTATATGCCTGGTTTAGTTCTTATTTCTTAATAGTAAATCCTTCCTTCCTCTTTTCCTTCCTATCTTTCTAGTAAAACACAGTCCTGGCTAATATATTTTTATGTCTGTTTTGCTTTGAAATAAAACATAATTACTCTATATTACAGATCAACCAGTTTAGCAGAAAGTATAAAGTCAATGAATCTTAGGCCAGAAGAGGATGACATTCCATGGGAAGATTTGAGAGATAACAGAGATTTAAATGTTTTCTTCAGCTGGGATCCACAAGACCGGTAAGAGATTTAATCTCAAGCAATTTATTTCTAAAAAATTAGGGTGAATCTAAGACATTAAAAAAATCTTTTTGTGCACATATAGAATTGCACGTTTGTTGTTGAGATCAGAAAATATAGATAAGCCAAAGAAAGATGATATATCTCACTCCTCTGTCGGGACTACTAACTCTGTCTGGCTCTATCTAAAGTTTAGATCTACTTTACAGTATATATGGAAAGGAATTCCAGATAGATTGAAGATTATCTGTTAAAATTCCTTAGAAATTATAAGGAAAAAATCCCCACTTTTTTTAAGTAAGTGGAGAAAGCTTAGAAGTATATCACATCTGGAAGTTAGACTCATTAAGTCCTAAAGATTTATGGTAAATTGGTAAATTTCTTCATGGTGTGTATCGTTTTAGTGATACAGAGATTGAACCCAGGGCTTTGCATATGCTAGGTAAGCACTTTTCATCCTCGGTCTCTAATTTGTTCATGTACATCAGTATCCTTCATCTGTATAGAGAACACTTAATAAACCGACAAAGAAGATAAGAAACACTGTACAAAGGGATTAATAAGAACTTCAAAGAAATGCACCTTACAGCGATAGAAATTTTATTTCTAACAAAAAGATTAAAACTTGTGATCAGCAAGGTTGTATGAAAAAAATGGTTATTGTCACGTGTTTACATAGTGATAAAATTTTATGTAACCTTCCTATAGGGATTTTAGCGATATGTATCAAAATTTTAAATGCTACCACATACTATTTACTTCAGCATATCTGCTTCTAAGAATGTGGAGCCTAAGGAAATAAATGCAAAAGAATGCAAAGATAGATATATGAGGTGGTTCTGAAAATATAACCTGTAGTTTGACAAGATCACAGTCTGATTTGCTAGAATGATTCAGGAGATTCAGCATATAGTTGCACTCACAACTAAGGTTTGTTATAGCAAAAGGATACAGGTCAGGATAGCAAAGGAAAAGGCACAGGCAGAGCCTGGAGATTTCCACTGCTCTGTCCCTCCTGTGAGGAGACACACCAAATGTGTTCCTCTCTAGCAGGGAATAATGCTGTAACACATGTGCAGTGTTTCTGCCCAGGGAAACTGAATAGAGACTCCATGCCCAAGGTTTTTAGTGGCTATATCCAGCATGTACCAAAATCCCAGACTTCTAGAAGGAAAGATGTTCACCATAAACCATGTGGTTTGAACAATGTGGGCACAATAAGCCATTCTTGACATTTAAGGAATGGATAGAGTACAAGCTTTCAGACAACAGCCAGGGGCTTACCTTGCAAGTAGACTAGACCCTTCTAAAGGTGATGTCTGCAGGCCTACGATTTTATCTCTCCCCCTCCCCCTCTCTTTCCTCCTCCCTCCCCTCTTTCCCTGTCCTCCTTTTTCCTCCCCTCCCTCTCTCTAAACTACCACTGAGCTACACCTCTAGCTACTTTTATACATCTCTATTACAAAAGTCTATGTATACCAAAAGTCTTATACCAGGCTTGTTACTGATTCATTATCAGGATACTTTTTCTTTTCAGTCATTTGAATTTTTTAAAAATTAATTTTATTGGTACATTTAAGGTATACAATATAATGGCATTCATCATCAATTTGTACCTTTACATAATCCATCTTGGTTCTTATTTTTTAAGTAAGTGGTTTTTTTTTTCTGTTTTTTTGGTACTGGGGATTGAACTCAGGATCTTGTGCTTGCAAGGCAGGCAGCGGAACCACTGATCTAAATCCCCAGCCCTGTCATTTGAATATTTTGTGCAGTGAGGTACTTTAATTATCAGTGAAAGTCAAAGGAAAAGTGATCTGTAGGTAGGTTACCATACCCATTTTACTTATAGTGAGATGAAGTTTCAGACAATTTTTGGCTTGTCCAAGATCATTCAGATAGAAAATGAATGGTCATAGGGTCATTCAAAGGTATCTTGACTGTTGACAGCAAATGTTGAAAAATTTGAATAAAAAAGTTGAATAAAATGGATGGTCTGGTGCTGTTTTTGTTGAAGGGATGTTTCTGAAGAGCATAAGAAACTTTCCTTGGAGGAGGAGACCATGTGGTTAAGAATACGTTCCTTAACATTGAGGCTGATCAGTGGACTTCCAAGTCTTAACCACCCTGTGGAGCCAAAGAACTCAGAGAAGACTGCTGAGAATGGTGTCTCCTCCCGGATTGATACTCTGCGTTTGCTCCTTCAACAGCTAGAGGTGGCTGTGGAAACAGGAAAGCGATTTATTGAGAAAAAAATTCAGGTATCATTCATTAAAAGTATTTGTTGTTAGAGCTGCAATCATTTTATTAATGATGTAGTTTTTTTTTTTAAATAGGAGTTTAGGATTGGCTGAGCAGTAAAGAACCAGTTTTAACATTTGGTCCCAGTTTATGGCATCTGTAGGAAAAAGGAATTTTATAGATTCAGAATTGCATAGGCTTTCTTTATATGTGGAATAGATAGTGAAGAAAAGCAAAAGGTTTTTTATGTAATAAGTAAATTTAAAATAACCATCAACAAATTAATATGGCATTCTGTTTACACCATAATGATTTAGTTATTAGTTTGCTGGTTAATGGGTTTTCATTGGATCAGTGAAACAGGTTTTATCCAGTTGTTACAATCCCTTGTAGTCTTATTTTGCATGAATTAAAAGATATCATTTTTCCTCTTTATTTCCAGTATCCTTTCCTTGGTCCTGTACCTACCAGAATGGGTGGATTCATTAATTCTGGCTGTTCTCGATGCCAGATAAGTTCCTTTTATCTTGTTAATGATATTTATGAGCTGGATACCAATGGTTTAGGTAAGTATATATACTGGCATGTATGTTCACTGGGTCTTTATCATTGAAAGTTTAGCAAATGAAATAAAATGTTTATACCTTCACATTTAAAAATAATGTAGAATTAAGGAAAGCTGGAAGCTGTTTGGGAAATGTCTGGTTTAGTCTATGAGTGGGTACATTCACAGATTTCAAAGAAATGTTTCAGAAGCATAATTCCTTTCCATATTTTTTTTTGGTACCGGGGATCAAACTCAGGTCCTTGGGCTTGCAAGGCAGGTGTGGTGCCACTGAGCTAAATCCCTGGCTCCTTTCCATATTTAAAGTCAATTATTAGCTGGGCCTGATGGTGCATGCCTGTAATACCAGCACTCAAAGGCTGAAGCAGGAGGATTGCTGTGAGTTCGAGGCCAGCCTGGGCTACATAGTGAATTCAAGTCAGCCTGAACTACACAGTGATACCCTGTCTCAAAAATAAATAAATAAAAATAAAATAACAGTTAAAAAAAATAGTCAATCATTAAATCTAAAAGCTGATGAAATCCTTGATTTGTTGAAATATTACTGGATTTTATATTGAATTGGATTTTAAAATTTTAGCCCTATGTTTTTTTCTGAGTTCTCAACCCAGTGAGATCAGTTATTCCATTGACCATATTTTTTGTTTCCTTTAAAATTAGAAGGTTTGTAGGTCCTGTCAGAGTTTTTTTTTTTTTTTTGGTACCGGGAATTGAACTTGGGACCTTGTGCTTGCAAGGCAGGCGCTGGAACCACTGAGCTAAATCCCCAGCTTCCTATCAGAGTATTTGAAATGCATAAACTTCAAATTCTCCTAAAACATTTTAGGTAGTAGATAATTAATGACTTTTTCTCCTTTTTACATTTTTTCCCCTTTTCTTCTATTTTTATCTCAATAATGGAATTTAGATGCCCTAGTATCTTGAAGGGGGAGGGGGGATGACCTTTGCCCGTGAGGAACTTACAAGTATTAATCGTTTCTTTATCTTATTAAAAGAAGATAGCTTTTTATATTTTCCTTTTCAATTTTAGAGGATACAATGGAGATACAGGAGCGAATAGAGAATAGCCTTAAGTCTTTATTAGAACAGTTAAAAGGTAAGTTTTTACTATGGATTCTTGTATTGTAAATGGTTGTCTGGCACTAACTTAATTTTTGTTTTTTAATGGAAACTTGTGGTAGAACTCAAAAATAGTGCATATTTGTAGAATTCTTAAAAACTCACTTTTTACTATTAAAAATTAAGTTTTGATTACAAAAGTAGTAAATACTTACATGGTCTCCCCCATTCCCCAGCCTGGCCTGGAGACTGTTAACCCTTTGGAGTCATTATACCCACCTGCCATCTACACAGTCATAAATGTGTGTGTGGAAATGCGTAGTAGTAATTTTTTTTAACATGAAACAAATGCTTTTCTGATTTTTAAAAAATCTTTGATATCTTTACATGTCAACTTTATATAAATACATATATTTCCCTGTTTATGGGCACTGCTAGGGATTTGAACCTAGGGCCTTAGGCATGCTAGGCAAGTTCTGTACCACTGAGCTACATCCCCAGTCCTATATGCAATTCTTTCCCCCTCCCCCCCTTTGGTTGTGTTTGTGTGTGTGTGTGTGTGTGTGTGTTTTGTTTTTGCTTTTTTTGTTTTGTTTTGTTTTGAGACAGTCTCATTATGTAGTTCAGGCTGGCCTAGAACTCACTTTGTAGTCCAGCTGGCGTCAAACTCATGGCAATCTTCCTGCCTCAGCTTCCTGAGTGATAGGATTACAGGTGTGCGCCATCACACCTGGTTTGTATGTGTGTTTTGAGACATGGTTTCACTCTATAGTCCAGGCTAACTTTGAAATTACTATGTAACTCCTTAAATTTGATCCTTCTGTCTTAGCTTCCTGAGTGCTGGGATTACAGGCATGAACCACCATGCCTGGCTCTATTCCATTCATTTTAAAGCATGTATACAATTCTATGGTATTGTATCAGTGTACCAAATTTAATTATGTACTCCTCTGTTGAGTACATAATGCATCATTTATTTATTTCTTAAAATAATGCAGAAATTCATCATGGGACATAGTGTGTGGATACTTATTTGATTATTTTCTTGGAATTGAATTTCTAGGAATGCAGTTGATTGGTATGTGCATTTTAAATCCATAAGAGCTTTTTTTCAAGGACCTAAATGGTCTTTATTGCCCAAATGAGAAATGCCTGAAAATTAAAAGGTGTGAATAAAATATGGTATCTATTATGAAGATGAATTTCTACAGAATACCTTCTTGGTCTTTATAATGGCACAAGTTCTCCTAAATCATTCACTTAAACTCTTAATTTTATTGTGCTTGTGACCTTTGGAATTTTATTGTGCCTAAAACCTTTGAAATGTTTTAGCTGATATGCCGACCCTACAATGAAAAAACAGTGTGTAAGTGTGTGTGTGCGTGTGTGTGCATGTACGTGCGCGTGATCCCTGGGAATTATGCCCAGGGACTTGCCCATGCTAGCCAAGTGCTCTTATCACTCGGCTACAACCCCAGCCTCTATTTATTTATTTATCTATCTATCTAACTATCTATCTATTTATTTATGGTACCAGAGATCGAACTCGGGTCCTTACGCTTGCGAGGCAGGCGGCAGAACCACTGAGCTAAATCCCCGGCTCTCCCCCCAGCCTCTTTTTAAATTGAGACACAATCTCACTAAATTGGGTAGTCTGGCTTAGAACTTGCAACTCTCCTCCCTCAGCCTCCTGAGTAGCTAAGATTACAGGCATGCACCACCATGTGTGACCAGAATATGTAATTTTTAAAGCCACTTTCTATATTTCAAAGACTACTGAGCAGGCCGGACGTGGTGGCACACACCTGTAATCCCAGCACATGGGAGGCTGAGGCAGGAGGCTTGCTGTGAGTTCAAGGTTAGCTTGGGCTACATGGGAAGTTCAAGGCCAACCTGAACTAGTAGAGACCCTGTCTCAAAATACAAACAAACAAACAAAAGACTATTGAGCAGTAGTCAACATAGATTTTTAAGGAGCTTAACATAGATACCCTCTGGTATTTGGTTCATTGTGGAAAGTGGAAATGAAAAGCTCTCCAAATTAAGCTTTTATATTTGCTTATTCTCTAGTAGATTAGATACTGTATTCTTAAAAATGATATTGAAAAAAGTGAATAAAAGTGTAAAATATTTTTCTGTCTTCAGATGTCTTCAGTAAATGTACAGGTGACCTCTTAGAAGTAAAAGATGGTAATTTGAAAACACACCCTGTTCTTTTAGAAAATCTAGTCTTCTTTGTTGAGGTATGTTTTTGTTCTCTTCCTGAAAAATGTGATTTTCCTTAATGGTATGCAGTATTCAATTTCCAACTATGAATAGGCAATAGGCATGTTATACCTGCAATTTAACCTTTGTAACACTACTTTATTCATAATCCATCATCTTTCCTTGTATTTCTGTCATGTATCTGTTTACTTTTCTCTCCTTGCTTCAGTAATTTCCTGAAGGTAGTATACTGTGTTCTGAGAACTAGCATGTTAAAAGTTCCTAAGATATACCTAGTAAGTGAGTAATAATGACACCTGTGTACATGCCCACACAGCAGACTAGGAAAAAAATGGATAAAAAGCTACTTTCATACAGGCAGACTATGTTCTGATGACCTGGGGAGGTCCTTCCACAGGTCTGTAAGTCAGGGTCTCAGCTGGCCAGTGAGGTATGTGGTGCGAGCCAATGGTAAAGAATCTTTGGATTCCATGCCTAGGAACTTTCCTAGGAGTTTTCACTAAATGAAAAGAATGGATCCCCACTTTTACAGGGAAGTAAAAGAAAACTGGAGTGATGTGGAAAATGGATTTAGCTGGAAGAGCCATATCAAGGATAAAGGGTTAGGCTATTTCAGTAGTCTAAGCAGATGGTGAAGGCCTGGGTCAGTGTGTGATTGTAGAAACCAGAGAGTAAAAATTCAGGAAAGAAATTGAAGGAATTTGTATAGAAACTGCCAGTTAGAATTTTTTGTTTAATCCATTGCCTTTAATTTTCTGATAGTTTTTTGGCGGGGGAGTACTGGGGATCGAACTCAGGACCTTGTGCTTGTGAGGCAGGCATGGTGCCACTGAGCTAAATTGCAGCCCTCTGATAGAAATCTTTATTGATGGCTTGGCTATTTTTTCTCTTTTAGACCATTTCCATTATCCTTTGGGTATCTAGTTACTGTGAGAGCATCCTGCGACCATACAAATTAAATTTACAGAAAAAGAAAAAGAAGAAAAAAGAAACCAGCATCATCACGGTAATAACAACAACAACAACAACA